CACAACCAAAGCAAACTTTTCTAATGCACTATATGTAGCCTTTCCCAAATTGTGTAAATGCCTGAAAAATTCGTTGATTGATATCATACAGAGGGTATGAGGATACTCCTGCCATTCTATTCAAAGTGTATATTCTTGCTTTTCACAGTCTATTACACACAAACATCTCAAAGACATTTTATGGGCAAACATGTTGACCAGATACACTTCCAGTGATTTGTTATTGCATACAAGTTAGTTGTGAAAATGTTTACAATAATACATGCACACTGATTTTTCTTCATTATTAAATCACTATAAAATCCTATATGAAGCATCTGTTGCCTAATACTTCTGCAAGTGTCTGATCCACTGCCATGGACAGGCTGAGACCAAGCAGTTCACATATTGGAAAACTGTCAATCATGTGCCTTTATTCATATTCTTAATACCTTCCTGGAAACCGAAAACACTAGAGAAATACTAGTAACCTTCAGCACTCAACTCAACTTACCGCTTTAAACATTAAACGATATATCGAAAAAACTGTTATGATTCAATTCGTGGAAAATCCGTGGTTACTCGTAGTGGGAAGAAGTAAGGTGTTGTTGATGCACTAGACCATCACTAACCAGTTTACGAATGAATGAACACGAGCACGGATAACCGGATTTTTATTATGTTGGATATTGGAGTATTCAGTGCTACAATTTAAAAGTGTAACAGTCGTTCTATAGAAAGGAATAGAATTTATTAAGATATTTTAATTTTACGTTAACTGTCAATAAGTATTTTCATTTTGTAATTCGGAGTGTAACCTACGTGTGATACAGGAAGAAGGAAGTTCATTATAATTGGTAATCAAACGTATCCAAGTACCATATGCCTTCTTCTCACAGTTATTGTATTATTTTTCTTACAGGGGGATTTGTGTTCTTAGTATTATTAACTTAATTACAACATTTAGACGGCACTTAGGAAAGCACTGATCTTAAGAGCCCAAAACATGCCATATACGTTTCCTTATCACCATAAAATCTTATAGTTTGGGCAGTGCATTATAGAAATACTCACACTTGTAACCAATTCCAACAGTTTGTAATTAATAACAGATTGTTGGTTTCATAGGCCAAACTTGCGCTTACAAATAAAGTTCTCATTTGAAATCATCAGAGTTCTGTGTAACTACTTTTCCAACCTGAGGTCCATATTTTGTAACACATCTTATAAGGACATCTTCAACAGTTGTTTGTACATGCTGGAATGAAATTCAGCATTGTTAAAGTGCTGTTTTAATGGTCCATTTATTAGCTTTGGTTCCAACATTCACTTTGCCAATTTTTTATGATTTCTTTAAATCTTTAGTGTAGTTTTCCTTTCCTTTTAAAAGGGTTATGCTCTCTTATTGACCATTATTTCTCCTTGCTTGCTAGAGCTGATAAATTCTTTGCATCATTCACCAAGTTTTGTGTTCATGTAACTGCAATTATCTTATTATTTAACAGGATATGTACAGGCTTTACCATTTAAAATGCAATCTGACAACAGTAATATGTAACAAAAAATAAATCACTCTCCCCTAGCATACCCCATGACTCTCATGCCAAGGTTACCCTAGTTGCTAGGTCACTGCTTGAACCAGACGCACAAAATGTTATGGTCGTACAAATTTCAAGCATTGCATCAGCTGCAACAGTAGGGTGCAATGAAATAATTCATGTATAGAAGTTATAGTTGTGTTTTAAGTGGAACACTCCATTCAGTTAAATTGTTAATGATGTAGAATAGAAGAGTTTATCATAAATGAAATGTAAACATTTTCTATGTATGAAAATTAGTTCTGTGAACTTAGAGATTCAGTAAACTTGGCTGGAATAAGGTTAGACTAAATTATCTTACATCTGGAGAGAGTAATTGGATTCATAGAATAGAATAGAATTTATTTACATTCCATAGAACCTTCATAGGCCTAAGCCAAGAATGTAGAACAGGTCATAGCACAAATACATGTTTCTAGTACAAATATAAATACATGGTTGTAACAGCTATTGACAGATTTTTGGAACTACAGTATTACAGCAAAATAATTATGATGCATCATCGTAATTACTTATATGTATTTATAAATTCTTCTACTGAGTTGAAGGAGTGAGATAAGAGATACTCTTTTAACGCTGGCATAAACATTTTTATATCGTTTAAACTTTTTATAGTAGGTGGAAGATTATTGAATAACTTAATTCCAGTATAGTAAACCCCTTTTTGATATTTATTGAGGTTAGAAATCGGCACATGAAGGTTGTATTTGTACCTTGTTCTTATATTGTGGATAATTGTATTTGTTTGAAATTTGTTGAGCAAGAATTCATTGGGTAGTGGAAGAATATTAAACTTCTAAAATAATTTCCTACAAGAGTCACTCCTTTTAGTGCTTACCATTATTCTAATGATCCTCTTTTGAATGTACAATACTTTTTTGCTGTCCGTTGAATTTTCCCAGAAAATTATTCAATATGACATTATGGAATGGAAGTAAGCAAAATAAACTAATTTTAAAGTTTCTGTTTTCGTGAGTGCTGCAACTGTCCTAGCAAAACATGCCAAGCTTAGTTTAGGGATAATGTATTCAATATGTGTTTTCCAGTTTAATTTGTTGTCAATTTGTGGATAGAACTAAATGTATTATATCAGTTCAAAGGTGTAGTTCAGATTAAGTGTAGATTATTTATAACAGTAATGTCTTATCAATAAAGAATTTTATAAATGGTTTCTACAGAATGATACTTCTGTTGTCTCTGGCAGTTTGGCAAGATTTAGCTAACAGAACAGCTGAAGAAGTTGACTGAAGGTTCATTGTGCTCAAGAGTATTTCTGTTCATCTCAGTATAACAAGTCATTTAAAATTACTTTTTTATTTGTATATCATCTTCCTAAAATGTTTTTCACCTCCTGTGAATCATTGATCTGTATGTGTGTACTAAACTGTACAGTAATTTTAGATTCAATTCTAAAGGGTTTTGATGACGGTAGTTTACACTTAAACTTATTTGTTGTCAGGACTTTTTCCATCGTCTGTGACAGAGACTAGCTCTTTCTAAGGGACCCAACAGAGTAGGTACCTC